CGGCGGCGGCTCGCACCCGCAGCACTACGGCCGCCTGCCCGGGACCATCTGGAGCTACACGCAGGTGCGGCGCACGGGCGGCGGCGGCGTGGAGACTGTGCAGGGCCCGGGCGTGTCGTGGGTGCACCCCGACGGCGTGGGCGTGCAGATCGACACCATCACGCCTGAGATACGCGCGCTCTACAACGTGCTGGCCAAGGTGAAGCGCGAGCGCGACGAGTACAAGCGGAGGTGAGTGGGGACCTGCCCTTCCCCCCACCCAGCGGCTCCTGGGGAGGGGGCGTCCAGGTCCGGGAGGCCGCGGAATGCGTGCGTTCGGGAGGGGCTGGGGGCGGCCAGCTGGTCCTAGCAGGTGTGCTGGAAGTTGTGTTTGCATAGCGCCCTACACACGCTTGGAAAACTCACTTACTAGTTCCAAGAATGGGGGCGGGTGCTTACTACCATAGGGGACACGTCGGTGCTGTCATTGGTCGGGGCCGGTTGTTTTCTAGGTGACATAATGACCACTGGTGTTTTATGGGATCTCATTTAATCCTCACACCAACGCAGAGTGTAAGGCATTCTTATCCCCATTTTGTAGATGAGAAAACTGAGGCACAGCGATGGAAGGGGCTTGCCAAAGGGGGCTTGGCCGATAGTGGCGAAACCAGGATTCAAACTAGTGAATTGAACGACTTTTGGCTAGTTTGTCTCCCATAGGTATTTCCCCAAGGATGTAGGAGGTGGGCTCCCCTCCCTCCATGGGTGAAAAGAAGAAACTCTTAACCGACCCACTGGCTTTTTTTTTTTTTTTTGTCCCTTGAATGAAATGAGATCATGTGTTTGAAAATGGGTAAATCTGTCCCTACCCACTAGGGCCAGAGTCTGCCATCTTGCTCCAGCTCTGCAAGGTCCCGTTGGTAGGTCTGGATAACCAGACTACCATCAGACTGGCCACAGGCTTTCAAAAACCCCTCTCTTCACCCCTCTTCCCCCCACCCCCTACCGTCATGGCTTACTGAGTGCCAACAGACGCAGCCCTAAAGGCGCACAGGAGGAGAGAACCTTGGGCTGAAGACTGGATGTTGATTGGACCCAGACCACCATCTCTGGCTAGTGTGCAGGGCAGACTGCCTGCAGGACTGGCCTGAACATTCTTGCCAGGTCCCTGTTCCCCAGCTGGGAAACTGACGCTGCTTCCTGCCGGCATCCTGGCTGACAGGACTGATGGCTAGCTTCCAATAAGAGGAGAGGGGTCTGTCTGTAGCCTTGCAGGCCTGGGTGGGGGCAGGACCCTCTGCTGTCCCAGGCATGGGCAACTCTGCATTGGGAGCCTCGGCTCCAAACTCTAGGGCTTGGAGGGTGTTGTGAGAAGGCCCTTGAGTCCTGGTGCTCACATGAGCACAGAGGTCTGCTCAGGGAGCGGGGCATGGGTCTCCTCCATCACCTGCCAGGGAGATTGTTGGACCATTTGGAAACCTATTTGCTCATTAGACAGATAAGAATAATAAAATCTATCCCCAGTTGCAGAAGGGGAGAGTAGGTCGGTGGTGCTTTTGGGAAGGGATAGAGTAATCAGTTGATGTTATTAAAGATGATAGGCTCTGTCAGGCCAGCATGGAGCTGAGGTCCCGAGAGGAGAGTCTTGGGTCTCTCTCACACAGGGTCTGGCTCTCTGTGGGGAGGTCTTACACCCCGCTGGGGATGAGCCACTCTCCTGGGCCCGTCTTCTCGTGAGGACTTGAGAATGGCCTGGTGCCCCGCCGTGGCCAGGGGGAGGCTACCTGTCTCTGAGGGAAGCTTCGCTGGGGTGGGGTAGGGGAGCAGGCACTTGCTCTCAATGGTGAAACACAGAGGGATGGGCCCTTCTGTCTCCCACTGTTGATTGTGTCGTCAGGCCTCAGGCTTCTGCTGTTTATTTTATTGTGTGTTCTTTTTGGACCTGGCTACTCAGGAGATGGAAAAACCATGCCCAATCTCAGAGGGAGATAGGTTGGTGTTGAGCAACGCTCTGTTCAAGTTGCACCCAGGGTGTGGGGTGTGATGTCAGCTTCTGGCGCTGGCCTGGAATGAGACGGGCACTGCTGGGGCAGGTGGAGTGTGGGTGCCCCTCCTCCCGTCCCCTGGGCTGTGTGAGCGCCTTCTCCTCCTCCATTTTTTGGTGAACTGGGGAGGTGCATCTTTTCCGAAGTCAGTTCAGGGCTCAAGTTGGATTTTTCCAAAGCAAGTGTACTCCCTTCTTTGGGACTCCGTTTCCCTGTCTGTAAAGTGAGGGGTGAGTGGGCTAGCACTGTGCTCCTTGAAGCCCCAAGGCTTCCTTGGAGATGGTCTTGGGGTTCCTTGACTATTCTGTAAGACTTAATATTTTAAGTTATGTTACAGTGTTAATAGGGTTATAAAAATGTGCTCACTTTTAAGTTCTGAATGTCAACTCATTGTTAATTGCTAACTTGTTAGTAGTTGGCCTCAAGTTAAAGCCACCCCGCCTGCCTTCTCTGTTTGTCTGAAGAGTACTCTGAGATTGCAGAGCAAACCGCTAAAAACCATTCCCATTTGTAGCCACTTATCTGTGTGAGTCAGGATTTTCGTGAAACGCTGCAGCCAAAACTGGAGATAGAATTAAACGCAATATGGTGCTGTCATCCGTGGGTCCAGTTTTAAATGTTAATGAATCAAAATAGCCTCATCAACTTTACTGATGGAATTCAGAATAGGTCACTGTTCTGTATGTGAACTTACAGTATAAATGTATACCAGTGACATTCTGTTTTTACTTGTTTCTGTATTTGGGTTTCTTGTGAGAATTTGCTTTCAGGAGGAGGGCAGGCATCTCAACAACTGAAAAGAAAAAAATTTAAAAACCGCTGGGCTAGATGATCTCAAAAGGTCTTCCCAGCTTTGACAAAATACAGTCTTGAGTTTGAGCTCCCAGCCCACTTCTGGTCCCCTGTCCATGAGAGAAGTTTCTCTAGATTTGCCTTTTCTGGACACTTCATATCAATGCAATTACACTTTTGTGTCTGGCTTCTTTCACTTAGATAATGTTTTGGAGGTTCATCCACGTTGTAGCGTGTTTCACTACTACATTCCTTTAGACTGGTGAATAATTTTCCGCTCTGCAGACAGGACAGTTTGTTTATTGGTCCACCTATGCCGTCAGGAGAATTTAAATGTGAGGAGTCACTCCTCTACCCCCTCACATCATCTCGGGTGCCATTAGTGGTATGGGAACAGTGCTTTGGAAACACCACCAATCCAAACCAGAGCCGCTGGCCTGGGCCCTGGGCCCTGGGCCCTGTTCACTACGGCTCTGGTTTTCCCTTGGGCCGACCAGCTCTGAGCTCTTTATCATGAGGGAAATGTGGTTGCCCAAACTGTACCGTCGACAAGGTTGTCAAGCGTTGATTTGGAAACCAAAACAAACATCTCTGTCCTGTCACCACCCAGTGCCACCAAAATGTCCTATTCTGAGTTTGCAAGCTGGGGGCTTTTCCCTGGAGATTCCTGCTGAGTCTGTCCGAACTTTAAACAAGTGGGGATTTCTCTGCATCGTTTCTCAGAGACCCAGACTCCAGGTCAGGCTCTGGTACTAGGTGCTGTGTGACCTCAGGCCAATTGCTGCCCTCTCTGAGCCTTAGGTCCTCCACCTTTACAGGAGGGGGTTCCTTTTGGTGATCCCTCCCAACTCGCCCTATACTTTGGTCTGTGACTCAAAGGGGTCTGGGGCAGGGCTGTTCTTCCTGCCTCACGGACTGGCAGTCCTCCCCCCACTCCTGCCCCAGGCCCAGTATGGTTTGGAACTGTCTGGGTTTCCCTCCCCGCCCCTGCAGGTTGCCAAGTGTCTGCACCCCTGACTCAAGTCAGCATGAAGGGCTTGGTTTGTTTTTCCTTGGTGGTTGGGTGATCCGGAACTTTGCTTGAGAGCCAGGAGGGACCACAGTGATCATTTAGCCTGATGGTTCCCAGAGGGGCCCTTTGGAACCCGGGGATCCAGAGCTGGGTGCCTCGGGGCAATTCTAGGGACAGTGAGTGGTGGTGCTGAGCACTTGGGATTTGGCCCCCATCAACCATAGCAGCTCTATTTCCCCGACTGCCAGACTGGTTTTCTGAGGAAGGTTCCATTGGAAAACAGGGTTCTACAGCTTAGAAAAAGAAAGAGAGAGAGAGAGAGAAATTGCTGATTTAGCTGAGTTACTTTCATTTTTGAGGTGGGGAAACTGAGGCCCAGAGGGAGCTGACCCACAAAGCCAAGTTGGGAAGACCTTGTCTGCCGTTGAAAGCTTTCCCACTACTCTGAGGTGATGCTCCCATCATCTGTCCTCGGCTGGGGTTTGGTAGAGTTTGCTCCACCTTTTTGTGTGTCTGCCTTTAAGCATTTTTTAAAAAGCTACTTTCAGGGATGGGAGGGACTTTTGTCACAGCTATTTCTGATCACGAGCCGGAAGGGGCTGGGCTGGTGGCCTGAATGAAGAGCTCCAAAAAGGGCTGGTGGGTGAGCCAGCTGGAGTGTCCCCTGCCTTTCCCCATCACGCCCTGGGAGGCCCTTCAGCAGGTGCGTGCTGGCCCCTGAGTGCCCCAAAGCCAGAAGACTGCCCCGGAAAGCTGGTTGCAAGGCATCGTTTCCTGCCACTTCTGTTATTCCTGAAGCTGTCACCGATATGGATTCTTTATTTCTGATTTTCCTGGGAGGCAGCGTGGGATGGTGGGAGAAGGGTTCAAATCTTGGCTCTGCTGCTCTCTGTGTGACTTCGGGCAATTGCTTAACCTCTCTGAGCCGCTGGAGCCATCACTTTCTGTAAAAGAAGGGGAAGAACTTTGCTCCCCTAGGAATCGGGGAAGAACGAATGAGGTCCTGTGATAAGGCACCTGGGGCTTGGTAGGCTCCGGGTAGGTCCCCTCTCCTGGCTCCCCGCAATGTCTTTTCCCTTCATTTTATAGGGATTTCCCGGCACCGTGCTCGACTGCCCAGCACATCCATTTCAGGACACGTCGCAGCTCTCTCTGTCCCGTGGAAGGCGCCAGACATAGTGTTGAGGGTGGAGAGAAAAAGGGCTACTTCTTTGTCCAGCATCTAAGGAGGGTGTTCTTCCTACTCTTAGCAGTTGATTTGTGCCTCCGGAAATCTCTGGCCAACCCCCCACCCCCCGCCCTTTCTTCCAACCTCCGTTGAAAGAAACACACAAACCCCCTCCATCCAGCTCCTCAGTGCCCCAGAGTCTCTTGGCTGTGCTGGCATTCTCTTTGGGGACATA